ATTTTGCCACCTCGAGAAGAGGATACTTCTGCACGTAGATCAAATGCTGGATCCGGCACGGGGGTAATATTCGTCGTAAATCATGGGCGGGCTCCGGGCGTCTCCCGAGTCTCTTTGAGGTACGTGGCAGGCGTGGACGAGGCCGTACCTGCTCGTAGAGGGGTCGATGCAATGTACGTGTACCTCGTACGTGTGCATGTGCGTGTGCGTGCGCGTAACCTGTTTCATCTCCCCGCCAGCCTCTTTGTTACCCAAGTCATCGTCATACAAGTGTCTCTCAGAGACCTCGTGGCCTGAACTGCAGGTACGAGTACTCGGGTCCTCTGTTGCGTACCTGTCCATCACCGTAAGTTCCACCACCCCTAAACATGCGGCCGACGGCATCTCGGTTGTGGCACCTCAATCTCAATATCTCCAGACATGCACCGAGGGTACCAGGGATGGGGTTACGAGTAACTGGTACGTATGTGCACACCTACAAGACATTCTGTCTGTATGTACCTCGTAACCACCTACGGAGTTCTATTACAAGTACAAGTACTTGATACAAATTGTGTGCTGCCCAAAAAACTTGGATACCAGAGCCACCCAGCACGGCTAATCGGCATTGAAATCTCGTCCCCACCACCCACCACCACCATCATCACCCATCATGCATGCATCCCATTCCTGGCTGGCAAAAACCCCGATTGTAATATAATACCATGGGGATGGAATCAAGTTGTAAAGACACACCAGCAGCAAAAAGTCAAGACTTTTTGAAGAGACGGCGCCAAAACCAGCCGCTGTTCCCGCCACCCAAGAAAAATATACTTTGCGCTTTGGGTCTTGGGACTCGGAACTCGGTCGACCCTACGATCACGGACATTAGTACCGAGTATGGTAGAGCAGAGTGAGTAAGTAAAGCAAGTGCTTACTGAGCGAGTAATACTCGTCGTACCTATCTACCTATGTAGGTACGTACTCGAAAGAAGCAATCAAGACTTGACCCCCACGCCTTCTCACATACTTGACGTTGAAACGACTCACAACAGCTTCATTCCGGCTTCATCCTCTCCAAAGAGTCTTGATCCCCGAGAGCCGTTTCTGCCAAAGGGAAAAAAGTTTGTTTTTTTCTTGCTTGGGTACAGTAGGTACTTGTAGTGGGAAAGTCTCCCTCCAGCCGGCGGCAACGCTATCTATGTAGCTACCAGGTAGCTATCGATGGAGGTATGAAGGCAAAGTCCCAGATCCAGCGCACGCGACCACTCGAATTTTTTTTTCTTCTTCTTGCTTTCTTCGAGTAGTTGAGTCTAGTGTGGTATGAGGCTCCGAGCTCGGATTCGGTTGGTCGTGACATCATTCATTAAGGTCTACCGCCATCATCACCACCGTTCGACAGCTATACAACTATCTGTGGATATACACACACCTCACCTCATCTCGCACTGAGTAGATGGATAAGCATAGATAGATTCATATCCCGTGCATGCCCGATAAATACTCCCATGTCATTAAATCTCTAATCATCCCATTTCCCAGCACTGCAGAGCTCAGCTGAGCTAGGCAGAGCTGGCTCCAAAACGTCATGACGGGTCTGTAATCATCGGCGTCCTGTCCCCGTCCCTGTCCACGTCCTGCTCCTCTAGCGACAGAGCCTTGTATCCGGCTCCGGCGCCCACGTCTCTGCCTCTTCCCCCTTTTCTCTTCACGGCCCGGTACACATTGTGGGCCAGGACGTGGACGGGACGGGAGACAAAGTTCCTCGTCGCGAGCACAATCACCAAGATGATGAAGATGGCCAGCCCGCCAAACGTGGCGCCAAACACCTCGGCGTTCTTGATCCGCTCCGCCCGCTGGCGCTGGGTCTCGAGCTTCTCCTGCTCCTCTTGGTCTTGCCGGAGCTTGTCCTCCTCGTCTTCCTGCTCGTGCTTCGCTGCCTGCTCTTTCTTGCGCTGCTCCGGCGACGGCATGAACCGGCACGCCACGTCGTCGCAGTACTCGCGCAGTTGCTCGTTGGGCGTGAAGATGGCTTGCACGGCCGACGTGCCCAGCACCTGGCCGCGCACGTCGAGCGCCTCGGCGTACGAGTACGAGTACACCTCGTCGTGCCGGTAGATGGTTTCGAATCCGTTCTTGGGGACGTTGGTGATTTCCTCCCACGGCCCTTGCTTGTTTTCGCCGCCGTAGAACCGCCACGACTTCGCCTCGGTCGCGCCGTTCCACGAGGCGTAGAGCATCATTTCCCGCCCTTCCTTCGAGTACGTCCACAGGGCTGGCTTGGTCAGCGGCATGCCCACCCAGTTGTCGAATTTGTGCACGCGGTAGTTCATCGTGTTGGTCCACGCCAGGGCCCCGTAGAAGATGATCTCGTACGACTCGGGCGCGTACTCGGTCCAGAAGGCGTCGTTGCCCCAGCCCATCAAGATGCCACCATTGGGGAGAATCTGCATGTTGCCCTGTGACTTGGAGATGTGGGCATGTCCGTCGACGAACGGCGGGTCGAGGTTCAAGATACACGTCGCCACCTTGGTTTGGTGGTCCAGGACAATGATCTGGCCCGTCGAGTGCGGCTGGGTCTGGTTGAAGCCGTTGGAGCCGTTGTCGAACAAGGAGATTACCGTGTGCGTCTCATTGTCGGAAATAAACCGCGCGTCATGCTGAGACGAGAACTGAAACTTGTCGAGTGCGTAATCCGATTTGGCTCCGTTCAGCCGCCAGATGACGTGGCCGTCGACTCCTGACAACTTATACACTGCCGAGGTGTGGCGGGCCGAGATGAGGTAGTCGCCGTCCTGGTTCTTGTCGATCGAGTTGATATGGAAATAATCCCAGGGACTGTTGGGGTGTTCGCCCGTGCCGCTGATCTCGGTGGTACTCGGTTCCACCCAGCTTTCGCTGGGGTCAACATGGTCCAGACTGTGCCATTCGAACAGGACTTCTCCCGTGTCGACATCGACTTCCTGAAACGCCCCCTGTTGGATGTAACCGAGACCGTCGCAGAGATTCCAGGGACACATGTCGTAGACGCTGCGGAGGTACTGGGTCATGAGCGCCTGCTTCCCATCATTGATGAGCCGGAATTCGTGCATGTCGGACGAGGCCTGGTAACTGCCCGGCTCAATGGACCTGACGATGCGATAATGTTTGTCCATGATAAGACCATGACCGTGGCCCCACCCGAGCATTTGCACGCCTTGGTAGAAGCACAGATGGACCTCGCCTTTGTACATGCATGTCTGCGGCGCATGGGAGACACCGGGTCCAGCACTGCCAAAACCGGAATATATTAAATTCTGAAGGAAAGGACGTTAGCATGCCAGGGTGGTGCGAGAGATAGCATCAGACTTACCGCATCATTGTCGTATATGTGGATGCCTTCCTGGGCTGCTTGATACGGGGCGACAAAGTAATAACCGGGTGCGAGTTTCTCAGGCTGTCTCTGAAAGACGCTGAGGATGGGCGCAAACAAATCAGGTCTCTGTCATTTATCGGTCAGTCAATCCAGCACATCCGAGCCGTAAAAAGTTGTAGACTTACTGATCGAAAGATGGAAATAGGTTGTGACTTGTTGTCGGCGGCTATTCTCCACGCGAACAGGCATATGAGCCAACACTGCAATGATAACGAGAGCCTCATGGCATGTAAACCCGTCGCCGGTCTCGTCTCGATTCAGCAAAGAACCAAGAAACCAGTACCAACGATTCTGATATGAGGTCCCAGAGGTTAACAACTCCCCGAAAAGTACGAGGTAGTAAGTGTCCAAAAGGCTGACCTCCGCCGCTTCGCCCCCCAGCCTCAGGCTCTGCTTATTGCCAGATCTGCACCAGGGACGAGAGCCGGAGGCGTGTCTGCCAAGAGGCACGCGATTCTCTTCTGGTCCAGCAAATATCCGATGTGGCGGACAAGGATCCGAGTTTCAACTTTTCAGGCCTTCCTTGTATCTTACGCCCAGGCGGTTGGGCAGCCCAAAGGGTTCGAATATTGCAATTTCGGGCGGTGGGAAAGGGGGCCGGTTGGTCAGGGTCACTCTGTCAAGTTCAAGGGAAAATATGACACGAGGGACAAATCACTTGGTAGGACGAGATACTCGGTACTCGTAGTTAGCAGTGAGTGATAATCATGGGAAAGTTCGTTTAGCCACTTGACTGACACTGGCTGAGGTGGATACGAGAGCCCTGAAGGTGGCTCCCTTTGGCCTCCCGCCCCCGGTCAAAAGAATCGAACTATCACCTCCGCTACCATGCCTTGTTAGGTATCACGGAGGGGACGGGTATTAATACGAGACGGACGTTTTTGAAATGACAGTTCCCACCATGCCGAGAACTACTAGTCAAGCCTCGGAATGAGGACAGAGTGAGGTAACGCGACTAGTCTGTTGGCCACAAGCGGATTGATTCCCCGCTATCTTTAATGTCAATGATAGGAAGGTCACTGTTGATCTTTGGGATTACGAGTATCGTCTAGCGCCCACGGTTACAATGGGATGCTAGGTAGAGGTCGAATCCCGGACTCATTCCCACCTTATCCAACATTATATCATCATATCTACCGAGGACTCGTACAGCATCCCTTTTCCCGTCAAGTCAAGCTTATGAGAGGTAGGGAGCCATTTGTCAAAGTAGGGAGTGGTGACTCTTTGTACGGTAGTGTACGCAGTACAAGTAGAATGCAAGTGTTGTATTAGCTGTGTCCATACCTTCATGCAATCATCGGAGAACGGCCGATAGCCATGATTAAATCTTTAATACTGCTCGATCCGACTCGTCCCTGTTATCGGCAGCGGCCGACATCCTCTATCAGTGCATGCAGCCACCTCAAAATGTAACCAAGCTCGCCAACCACTTTTTTGGTCGCAACCCATGCCAGTCCCGTCATGTCTAGAAGTGAACAGTTACGCGCGGCGCCAATCGCAAAGATCAGAACCAGAAATCGAACAAAAACACGCCAAACACCCAGGCTATGTACAGATCTGGTGCCGCGTTTGGGGTAAACATAGAATGCTCGTCGTCGTGAGGGAATCAAGAGGCAGCCGTCCAAAGTGGTGTGTTCGCGGTAAACTTGGGTAGGTAGTGGGTGCAGGCAAAGGTCGCCGACAGAGCCGTGGCAACCACAGGTACTCCAACAACAAGGGCCCGGAAGATAACATTCATCATCTGCTTGCGGTTCTGTGTTCTGCATCGTTGCACGAAGTTCTCCGCGTCATTGGATCTTGGGAATGGCTTATCGGGGATGGGCTCGCCGAGATACTCGCACAAGGGTCGCCAGCCAGAACTGACACGGTACTCGAGCAATTTGCCCGGTGGCACCAGTTCTCGGATCTCCCTATAGTAGTCGTGGAATCTTTGCTTCCCCTGGTTTTCAAAGTCGTCGTAAAAGAAATACTTCCAGAATTTGCGTAGCATGGGGTGGTACAGCCCGGCCGCCCAGTCAAAGTTGGCCACAGCCTTGAGTTCAGGGTCGTTTGCGCGCCAATTGACCGTTTTCATGACCGAGTTATGCCACGAATCCACGTCTCTCGTTGTAATGATGACTTTGGCGTCTGGGTACGCCTCGATCAACTCTTTGGCAAAGGCAACTGCAGGCCAGTCGCAGACTGCCTGACAATGACCCAGGAGCGCATCCCACTCCTCACGGCCAAACTTTCCCTTGCCCTCATACTTTGCAGCAAAAGCGTCCATCCAGCAGAGACAATCAGGTGGATTCTCAACACTAGCGGACATCATGTGGTAGGTGTCTGTGTAACCCAGCTCTTTCAGGGCTGCCCTTAACGAGGCTGTACCCGTCCTTCCCAGGCCGAGTGCCAGCACTCTCATCGGCACGATTCGTTTGCATTGTCGTCGGTCGATGTCGGTTTGATATGGGGTAAATATGTCGGTAGCAGGCTTGGGGGTATATGGGATTCCTGACGCCATTGTGGAAGTGGTTGAACGAGAGAAGAGGGTTGTTCCCAGAGGGTTATAAGAGTGGAGTCAATGCGCAGATGTCCTGAGTGGGCAAGCACGAACTTGCGCGATGGAGCTCGTATTCAGCAAGCGCTAAGTTATGATAAATGGCAGAAGAACCTAGGAGGATATATGTCGCGGTCTGACACAGTCGTTGCACTCTGAAAAGAAGTGGTAACGGTGGTGGGAAAAGAATGGAGGATTGAGAAAAGATATGATTGCTCTGGGGAAGCAAAATCTTGGGAGGCTCTTGTTCAAGAGGGGCCAAAGTTCATAGCCCTGCTGAGTCTTGTCAGTACGAGTAAACTTCCCAGTGGAGATGCAACACGAGTCTGGGATCTTAGCCTATTGGGGATGTGTCCGGGTAGAGACACGAAAGCGAAGGGCAGAAGAGCAATCCAAGAGGACTGCGACAATACCTCCTTTCCTCCCGTAGACAAGAGTACTTCAACCGGGGGGAGGAAGGGAGGCAATTTGCCTGCCGCTCATTTCACCCTCTGGCGAACGAAGTACTCGGTCTACTCGTCTCAATGGAATCTCTCAAATGAGATCAAGTATCCCATGCAGCCCATTTTTTGGACAATCTTTCGCCTTCTGGGATTTTGGGGCGATCAGAGGTCGCCAGGTGCCAGGGTTGGAGGCCGTGTAGTGGATCCACCAAAAAGCCAGGTGGAGGACGTGTGGGCCATGCAACTAACAAAGCGTAGCCAACTGGGAATTATCTTTCAAAAGACCTGTGGGTTCTGCCAAGAGCGCCACTTACGACGCCTCCTCGCCAAAAAGATATTTGGGGCAAACAGAGTTCCGGTGGATGAGCCAGTCAGACAGCGACGTGGCCCAAAGGAGGTGGAGTTTCTCGTAAAGGCAGCCGAGTCAGACGGAAGTCTATTGCCAAGACCCGATGGACCCAGAAACGCGTACAAGCAGCAAGAAATAACGTGGGAAGGTGCAGGGGGGAAGGGGGATGTGGAGATAAGTATTCATCATGACGACGCTCAAGTCGCAGGTGCTCGTAATCAATATGGGTACAGTGACACCAAGCAAGCAAGGGCTGCAGGGGGAAAGGTGTGTCGGGACCTGATGTTGTAGCATGTGCCCTGATTCCCGCGAGTACCTCCTTGTACAGGACAGGAACAGACCACACGCAGGATCGAATGTGGTCGTGGTGGTGGCGTGGCTCTATTTTCCGCATGGCCAAGCAAATCCTGGCAAGTGCAACGACAGACTTGGACATGGCAGCTCACTGCAGCTCTTCTTCAAGGTCTTGATACCGAATCCATGCATGCACTATGACGACTAGGAGGGTGACTTAGCGCCGGAATATGGGCCAAGGAAAGGCGTTGGTTGAGAGAACTAAAAGAGCAAGAGTGATTTTGGACGCCGACAACGGCAGGTAACCGTATGCTTGAAAGATTGGTTGGTATGGGTCGTGATTAATTGACACTAATGGCAAATAGAGACGTTACGACCATCGCCATATGAGGCAATTTATTCAAGCTCGGACCACCTCTCTTGATGAGAGAGACTTGGCACGCTAGAGTTGTAACCTGACTTACCACGAGCAACAGGAGTGTTCTTCTCACATTAATCAACTCGAGACGATTGTTGAAGAGCCAGACGACACTGCTCTGACACAGTCATGCATTACAGTAATGTGCGGAACTAGCGTCAGCTTTAGTAATATAGAACCATATAAATAAGTTAGGAAGTATCTACTATTGTCTGAACTGTACTGATCATATTTTACTGTAGTTTATTAACTGGAAAGTCTGATCTGTGCCGGAGAAAAGGTGTATGTCATTTGAACGGAGTTCATTAGCTAAGAAATTTTAACACGCGCCATCACATGATCATGTGCGACTTCCGTCCTTGCCGGGTCTTGGCTGCGGCAACTTTGACAGCAGAGTTTTCGTACATCACTTTACACTGTTCATAAAAGCTCTTCTGTCCCCATGGAATGACCGCTCCCGTGACTGCAGAAGTCCTGGCCGAAGCTGTTCCCTAACCTGTAACGGCCGAGACTCTAGACTGTAGAGCTTGCCGAGCTTCTTCTTCTTCTTTCCTTCTTCAACAACTGTTGCCCGGCTCTCCGATATGTGCGGGAATCCACCCTTGGTCGCGAAGCTTGTCCAGTGCTCGCATCGCCTCGATCAGGATATACTGTCCCGAGGGGCATTAGGGTTGGCCATCGCTTGAATGGCAGCTTGATTGTCAGTGAAGATGATGCAGTTGCCGGGAGTGTTGGTCTTTGCGTGGACGTCGAGTACGATCTGGAATGCGACTTCCATTCCCCTCAGCTCCGCAGCGTACACGGTGGCGGTGGTCGATGTGCCCATATATCCCGCTCTCTTCGACTGGATGCCTTGGATCTCCAGCGCTGGTGCCACCGCCGCTGCACCGACGTGACCGTCAATGCCACTTCCGTCAGTGTACACGCACACCGTTGCTGGATCTGTTTTATCGTGCTCCTTGACAGCACCCTCGGCGATCCGGGTGATTGGCGGAGTCCACCATGGGAGCACAACATGCGGCCGACGTTTCTCGAGCCGATCGAGTCGGACGTCGTACTTGCGTTCCAGAAGGCTTGAAAAACGATCGAGAGGGCTCGGTGCTTGCTCGTTCCTATAGAGCTTCATGTCCGTGTGGAGTGGCGTGGTGCGGATCTCTAAACTGACGGTAAAAGCTGTTTGCTCGAGCAGTTGCGTCACTGGGAGCAGGTGTGCCTCGGCGTCGTTCGCCGCTCTCGCTGTCCCAGACCTCTTCTTCGGTTGACTTTCATGATCACGTGTTATCTGTCTGCAGGCAGTCACTGATGCTAGGATATGAGGGAGTATCTCCAACAACAAATTATCACTTGAATCTCAGTTCGGACTTTGAATTAGAACAGATGTTAGGATTCTTCACCAGGGACCACTGCCATCTCAAAGCTGCTTAAATGAGTGTCGCTTAGCAGACTTGTCGTCATTCCGAGAAGGCCACGAAGCGCCCCAAGCGAGGGTTGGACACTTGACCTCGGCTAACTGTACGAACAAGGCAGTGTCATTCTCGACACACCATCCGCATGCTCTGTAGTATGCTTAACGGGATTCATTTCTTGCATCATTGTCCGATTACCTGCGCAACCAAGATTTCTTGCCATGAGGGGAAACGAACCACCAGCCACGACCAGTCTGATGCAAGTACCCTTTCGGAATACATGTGCGCAATCATGGAGTGTGAGTAACACAGAACCTTTCTCTCTCTGAGGATCTAAGCCCTCATAGACCTCCGAGATATTATGCGAAACTCCGTTGTGATCGACTTCACTTAGGCGAACAAAAATGTCAGCATACGGGATGTCCGTCGAGTGTGCAAGCTCTACAACGGGCTTGCCCATGACCTCAATATGCTCCCTCAACGGAGTGCTGGTGTAGACGTTGATATCAGACATTCGGGAATAGGCACTATCATCGACTCGACCACCACCCGTGAGGAGAGGCCCACCAAGGGTCGGAGTTGGACAAGCAGGGTCAAATTTGAACGTCGTCGAAGGCGAGTCGGACCTTGGAGGCTTTGTTGCCAGGGTGCAGTCACCACAAAGATAAAAGGTTCGCTTGCTGGAAAACGGTGGCCAGACAGGTAGCCACCGCCACTCGTTTGTACCAGAGACAAAGGCCTTCACCGGAAGTGGCCGGGGGCAATTGTGAGCTCCAGCGAGGTGCTCATCAAGAAAATCCAAGACCTCCGGCATTGAATGTAACCCACAAGCATCCATGTGCGTCCATGGGCCAACGGTGAGGTTCACTTTGCAGCCACGATCTCTCAAACGCTCGTATTGCTCCATGCTCTGGTAGGCGAAAGTATCATACCATCCACTTCCTAGCATGACAGGTATGTTGACACGATCCAGGGCCACACCATGCCTGACTGGTGTCCAAAATTTATCGTCAATGTCCGACGTGGACATAAAGTTTTGGAGCCAAGGGGCCGCTCCTTTCAAACAGCGTTTGACGGCAGGCTGAAGGGGTACCGCTTCATACACAGCCCGTAGGTCCTCAGTTTTGGATGAGAGAATCCTGTTTCCCGTACCTGAATCGATTTTCGGACCTTCCAAAGTGGCGACAGTGTAGTTCCATGAGATACGATCCATGCGGAAGACACCCTTGTCCCAAGTGTGGACTGCTTGATCGTGGGGCCCAGAAAGGATGATTGATGCCGCAAGATCAAGAGGCGGGTCATGGAGCAGTGCCCACTGAGTATAGCCCAAATAACTGGCGCCAAAGGTCGCGAACCTTCCAGGGTACCACGGTTGCGTGCGTAGCCACTTTACAATAGCTTGGCTATCAGCTTGTTCACTCATGCCAGGAACGAAAACACCTTCAGATCCAAAGGTTCCGCGAGAGCTGACAAGTAGGGCCTGGTAGCCGCGGCTTGCAAACACCACGGCATTGAGCATTGTTGAGGTAGATCCACGTCCGTAACAACCTAGAATGAGGACGAAACCCTTTGGCTCCCGATCCTCCGGTAGCCCTTTGGGGAAATAAAGGTCACCTGATAACGACACATCGTCTGCTACGGGGATGCGTACCGCCGTCGTGCCGTAGTTGCACTCTTCTGGCGGCAGGCTTTGATACCACTTTGACGAACGGCCAAAAGGGCCTCCGAGATGTTTATTATCTTCTTTTTGCTCTTCCATCAGCTTTGCCTCGCGCGGTGACTCGTTGTCTGCACGGATCAGTGTCCTGTAGTAGGGGCTTTTGAAGTTGCGGATGACTGCACGCAAGGTTAACATGAACGACTTTCTGGTGGTTCTGCGGCACGGGTATGTACCTATAACAACACACGTTAGTGTCAGGTGATTGATATTTGACGTGAGTCGCAGGTGTGACTCACCGAAGGTGACAGGGTTCCGTTCATCTGGCAAATTGAAGGTAGACTCCTCTACAGAGGTTAGTACTTGTACGGCACCAATGGCAGGGATTCGAGCGGAGAATAGGCAGCATTGACCGGCGGACACGGATAAAGTTAGAGATTTCGGCGCCGAGCTTCCGAGTGACTGATACTGTACTGTTGAGATGATATGGGAAGGACGGTACAGTTCTGGCAGTGCGTATTCCATAAACTACATACCCAACAATAGTAGGGATCTTTCTAGATCGACGTCGGCCCGACAATCCACTGGCAGAATTTGTGAATGGCCAGCTCGTATCAAAAGAACCGAGCTCTTGTCTTACAATAACCTCTCCCAGCTATATTTGAGTCAAGAGATTTGGTGGCTCGAAAGTATTTATTTTCGCTAGAAGCCCGGAGAGATGAATCGAAACAATAGATCGTCTCGAGCTCTCTCTCCCATTTCTTCGTGATTATGCCGTTCATTCAAACCAGAGCTGGAGAAGTTTCATACAAAGTCCAGGGATCTGGGCCGCTGATAGTTCTGTTGCATGCCAACCCTTCATAACCTTCATGATTATGATCCTATCATTGGACCTCTGGCGAAAAATCACCGAACAATCGCCATCGACTGGCCTTGGCACGGAGATTCGAAAGGCATATCGAAGTATGAAAACTTAAGCGCCGCGGGCCTTGCAGACGTCCTCGAGGACGTTGTTGAAGGATTGCAATTACAAGCAGCAGTATTCGTCGGCAACTCTGTAGGGGGTTTCGCCGCAGCCAGGCTCGCCATCACACACCGAGGCCGGGTCCGAGGACTCATCCTAGAGAATACGGGTGGATTTGTAGATTGGACGACTTTCTCGCGTGCCGGTGTCAAGTGGTTAGGCTCTTCAGCTTTTTCGCGCTTTGCCATGCCCTGGCTTGTGCGGAAATATATGAGTCCCCAAAGTAGGGCGGACGAGGAGATCACAGCTAGAGTCGCCAAAAGAGCTGGCACAGAGGAGGGCTCTTTTGTCGCCGCGCGAATCTGGCGTAGCTTCCTAAATCCGGAGCACGATCTCCGGTCCCGAGCAGGAGACATCAACATACCTGTTCTCTTGATATGGGGAACACGAGACCCGATTACTCCGACAAAGGTTGGTGAGGCGACCCAGTGATATATCAAGGGGTCGAGGTTGGAGTTGTTTGACACCGGCCATGTTGTCTTTTCTTCCAAACCGGACGAATTCGTGGAACTTGTCCAAAAGTTCGTAGAATCTATACCTGCATCTGAAAAATGAGAAAGGACTCTGTCGCAGACTGTCTCAGCTCTTCCGTGGGACCATTCCCGGCCTCAAAACACATTTGAACGAGTGGAAGGAACGCTCGTTCCATATCCTATACTCCAAATGAGACAGCTTAATTTACAAATTGATCGATCGATACCTGCGTCCTACTCAGGCCTAGTCTATCAGGGGACTGGCATTGCTTGCATCACGTACATCGTTATACCTGGTTCATGGACTAAGTCTGCTATGGAATGATCGCCCCTATGACTGTGAAAGTCCTGGCTGAAGAGGCACCCTAAGTCATAGCAGCCTGGAGTTATTTCGGGCCAGGATTTCACTCCTAGCCTGTGGAACAAGCCCAGAACATCTGTCACCTATGCCCGGTGCCAGGTCATTGGCGACAGTCGAAATGGATATAGTCCGAGGTTGACGGTCAGGAGGCCAATGATCAATAGAATGGTCCAGACCTAGCTAGAAAATTACTGCTCGCGTGGCCAGCGCTTTGTTCTGTATCCGAAATCTACGGTTATCAGAAGGGTGAATCTATCTGAACCGTCCGAGACCACAGTGGCCATCCTCTTCACCAGATTTTGTGAGGGTTGATAATCGAATGCAAGGAATCTCACCTTGTCACTTAGATGACCCCGTACCACGTTTCGCAGATCATCCCATGTATCATCGTAGGTAGAGACTGGTCAACAGTTAGCGTGGCCATAGGGCTGGAGCCCGTCCACATACCAGTGATCAACTCGTATCGTGGCCGACTGGTACACTTCCGGGTTCGATTGTGCTCCCACCAACGACTCTCTGAGTAACCCAGTCCACTTGTCGCACTGGCTTCATCTGCATCGTCTCCCCGGCAATTTCGGCTTTGAATATATCTTCTGATGATGCCGGTCCTGGATAGATATGCGCGCGTTTACCAAAAGATGTCGAGGGATCTCGTCCCGTTCGCAGTAAATCGAGATATCGATAATCTATATTCCGTTAATGATTGTAAGGGTATTTGCAGATTATTATCCTTACCCAGCCATCGTCTAGGGTATCCTCGTCTAGTGCGCCATTGAGTAGCGTCTCGGCCGCAAGAGTAATATCTGTATTCATCAGTGCCTGTCAAGGGATAGCGTCTACGGATACAGGGGCTCACTGATGTCCCGGACTTGCCAAACAAGATGAACTCGACGAGCTTGTAAACGACGCTCGTTGTAGCCGCGAATCAGTTGCTGTGGATACTCGGTGTCAAACAGGTGTTCCGACGATGGCCCCGAAACCTCGCGTAACTTATTGTAGCGGACAACATTAGCCTTGTGTAGATTCCATCCATCGATCAGGATCACTTCAATATTTTTGCCACTAGTAGATTCGAGATAAGCAGCCCTCTTAAGAGCACGTAGAGGATCGGGTGTTATGGAAATGGACGGGATGGGATCTCTAGGCTTGCCTTTATATTAATCAGCCGAAGGGTTGGAACATTGAAATATGCTCACGTTGTTGCCATGAGAGCGTAGCCATTCTCTTAATTGCACTGAAGCCGCCTCTTCGACTTCGTTCAAGCGTCCCACCAAATGCTCTGATCCTAAGTGATGTCCTAAGTTAGTATCGCGGATGGTGCGGAAAAAGAGAAGATGATCGCAAGTCTTGAGCAACTTGTAGACAGCTTTGAAATCGTCGTTGGCATAGTGCTTGCCAACAATTCTGTAATATCATTCATGCCTGCGTAGTGGTGAAAGTGACAGCCACTGCAAAATGTCCTGAAGTCAGCGTCATCATGGGCGCAGTTTCCCCATCAGAATGCTGACCTCCATGGAAAGTCGCAGATGAAAAGCCATAGTCACGTATTAAATGCTAGTCTTGGCTTGGGGGTGAATAATTTGATCTAATGACGGCTAGTGTATATGCGTACAGAAAATGACACAATTTACATGTATTCTTAGACTCAAGCTAATTGGATAGCTTACCCATCTCTTTCCAAACTATTTCTGGTAAAGCTTGTAGTGCTAAAGACTAGATCCACCTATCATTTCAGTATTTATGTGCACTTTCGAGCGACGCTAGTTCCGCACATTACTGTGGACGCGAACGCGAGTGAGCACAAGTTCTATATATTCTGAAGTGGGGAGAATTCCACCTAGTTTACTCTCAATGCGTCAACCTGCTTCCCCTTGCGGTTCCCCTCGTCACCTTCCACGGGGCTTGCATCTCCGGTAAGCGCCACAGGTGTCAGATCAGAAGGCAGGGAGCTTCTCCATGTCATCAACGTCACGACACTGTGCGAATCCCGAAGTGCTCCTTGAAACGGACTTCGATATTACTGAAGCCAACCACCATCGTGAGAATGCCACTCTGGAGCATCACCCTGGCTATCAAAGACTGCATCGGGTAGATTCACATCTTGAACCCGGAGCCAGGAGCGTCCCCAATGTCTCAGATCAGCGGCCGATGATCTGCACTTCTACAATGGCGGACATGCTGCGGGAGGCCATGCACATCAACCTCTTTTCGTGCGAGTGTACTTACAATCTGCTACAGACAAGCCAATCCCCGTTGTTTATGCAAGGGCAGATGCTACCTATCTCCTTGTACAAAGTGCACGGCGGGGCTGGTCGACCGTGCTTGCCTGTTCTTGCTCTTCGCACGATGCCAAAGTGCAAAGTAGCGACAGGCGCTTCGTAGTTCTCACACAGCGGCTATATCTGCTATGGGAGACCTTGGCCCTTGGCCAACTAGCAGGGTTCAATGAACAAAGACATATACACTCCGAAATGCTGGACACCCCCGTACGCACCTGTGTGTGGAGGAATGTAAGGTCTTGTTTCAGCAAACTCCCGACCAACAGAGGCCGGTTACCAGCCGGGCATCGCTGCGAGAGATCACCCTGCTCGATCACTGCGGCTGCATACTTGCGAATCTGGTGTATCCTACCAAAGAGTCATTGACGTTTCTTTTCATTTGAATCTTTCGCGAGCCACGCCCATGTGCTCAAAAGCACAGTAGTTTCGGCCTGCGGCGAGCATGCAGGCCTTTTCTGTATGGATATGGTGCATATTAGAAATAAATCTTAGCTCCCGTTGTGGACCGACAACCTACCTAGTATATACCTATGTTATATATATATGGGATAGCGAGACTAGGCTGCTGGATCACCACACCCCCTTTGGTCCCCAGCCCTGTCTCATAGCTTTGTAGCCTTGTAGCCTTGCCTTCCCAAGAGCTTCGTCTCTACCATTGCACCTCGATCTACCGAGTACTCGTAGAGACTCGGCTGGCAGGGCATCCTACGTATAGACACACCACAGGGGTCAGGTCGACCCTACTTAGCACTTACAGCTCTGCCCAATGCGCGCACATCAAGGCTGAGTGAGCCTGCCTCATTGGAAATACAAGGTAGGATGCAGAACATACTTGCATGCTATGCCACGCATACTCACGCAGACAAACCGTGAGAAACAGACAGTAGGGTCAAATACAAAATCAACCGCAGGGAGGTCTTCACCGTCGTCTATCAGATATTTGCATTCCGGTTTTACTGACTTTCATTTCGTTTCATGTTACGCTCAATTTTCCGTGCCTTTTGCCGCCTGGGCTTTTTTATCGTCTGTCGCGCCCCCAACGCCATGCTCGTTCAAGAACTTTTTGGGTGGTCTTGTCGATTGAATCCAGTGCTAATTTCAGCTCGCTCAATCACCCTAGAAAACGCCGATGCTGTGGTTTCCATCCATGTACGTGTGCGTGTGAATGTGCATGTGCATGTGCATGTACAAGTCTCAGAGCGCAGGATACTCAAACCCGCGCTGCACAAATTCTGTCTCTGGCTCAAACTGTCCAAAGAAGTGTAGGTCATTTTCGTCATAGGCTCCTTCCGCATTCACGCCCTCGTTATGAACAAAGCCGTCGAGCGGCCCATTGTCTTGCACACTTGCCCGTGCGAAATCTTCCGAAAGGGTCGGATACTCCCCCGATGGGTAGTGGTAGGGAGTGCCGTTGTGCCAGATATGGTCGTCACAAATGACCATAGAGCCGGAGAGAAGAGTGTCCTTGTTAGAGGTCTCTCCAACTTCGTCCATCGTCCCTAGATGATTATCCAGGCAGTCATCATGATGCTGCTCTGGCTGCGGCAGATCAGCGACACCAGTAAGGCCAACCATGGCAGACGTCCGCTTGACACCCTTGTCCGAGCGGGGTCTTCGCTGCTTCTTAAGCTGCACCCCTCCAGAACCGGTGTCATCAGCGTATTCGTCATCACTGCGGCGGTCGGCCTTACGCTTCTTCTCACGAAGCATTCGCTTTGATTCTAGGCCTAGATGCGCAGTACGAACGTGCTCTTCAAGGCTGGCTTTGCTGGTAAAGCTGCGATTGCAGCCATAGATGGCCACATCTTCCTGGTCTGCGACTTCTTCGGGGAGTGCAATTTCGGTCTTGCCGCACACAAAGTCACGCTTGTTCTCATGGACGGTTTTGATGTGGACGTTCAGATTCCCCTTTTTGGTGAACTTCTTGCCGCATCCTTGGACAGTGCATGTGAAGACGGCCGAGTCTTCTGATTTCTTCTCTGGTAGAATTCCATGTTGGATTTCAAGATGCCGGGTCAATTCCTTGTTGGTGGTGAAAGAGGTCGGGCAATATTGACAAGTTGGAGGGTGGACAATGGTGAGGTGAGCCTGGAGTTCTCCATAGGTTGCAAAGGACGCCCGAATCACTTCCCTCTCATCATCGGGGTTAGCAAGAATGGCAGCATTCTGGGCCATACAGTCCGAGCAAGAAAAGCGCGAGGTATCATGCTTGGCTCGCATATGGCAGCGCAAGTTCTCCGCTGTATCGTAGGCCTTCTTGCACGGGGCACCAGTCACTGAATCCAACTCTTTGCAAGGAAATGGTTTGATGTTGTGATGAACAGACAGAATGTGCCGATCTAGAGTATCTTGTTTGCGGAAAGTCTGATCACATCCAGGATACCCGCGACATCTGAACCGCTCTTTTGCTTCATGTGTCTCGAGATGGCGCCGGAGTCTTGTTCCTGTTGTGAAACTTGAGTCACATCCTTCCCAAGTGCACTTGTAATCCCTAATGTTGCTATGTTGACTTTTGACATGGTGTTTCAGGTGGCTGTCACGGAAGAAAGCTTTTGTGCAGGGAGGGTGCGGACATTGGAAAGGGCGCTCGTTTGTGTGGGACCTGATGTGCTCTTCGAGCCGCACTTTGCGATCGAAAGCTTTGTCGCAATTGTCGTAAGGACATTTTAGCGTTTTTTGGCGACAGCGAGGAAGCGTTCCTGAAGGAGGAGTTGAAGCTGGAGTGTCATCACCCTGCTCTTCAAAGTCGTCGTCACTGTCCGAGTCGAGCATATCATAGTCCATGTCGAAATTGTCGTCGTCGGACTCGACCCGCATCTTAGCGACGGCTCTGCGCGCCCGCGCCCTGGTTGCCTTTCGTCAAAATCTTGGAAAATACGTGGCTGCGACTGAAAATTACGAGGGGCTTGAGACAATGCCGGTAACGAATGGGAGAGTGTGGGGTCGCCAACCGCGGAAATCTTTGTCGGCGAGGCTGAAGTTATTGTGGGACCGCCAAGGACAATCACGTGGGACCGCGACAAGGCGAGGCTGCGACAACCAAAAACTTTTTGTTTCTTGCGGGCAGAGTGGAATGCAGAACAACAGTCTTGCGCCAGCCATATTTCTTCTTCAAATTCGGTTATTGTTCAGCTGGTCTGTATTATTGTGTCTCTGCGCTGTGACTACTGAGGATGTCGGACTATGGTGATGAGGGCGGGTAGGTGACCTTTTTATGCGCAAGTTTCTTTTCATGACCTCTAACGCATTTGTTCTCCATCCAGCTACGGCCGAGACGAGCCTGACGATACCTTCTATGAACCTGAGGACAATGTCGACGACGAACTGCCGCCGGATGCCGAAGTCGATGAAGAAGCCATCGAGGCGCGGGCTAGAGAGGAAGAGGGCGATGAGAGGACCGTCGTGTCGGCCGATCCAAATCAGAATGTCCAGAAGCCTTCAAGCGACGCCGACAAGAAAATTCCTGACGACAAGAGAACTACTACGCCTTACATGACCAAATATGAGCGCGCAAGAGTGCTTGGTACTCGGGCGCTGCAAATCAGGTACATGCCCTCAACATACGTTAGGCCTTCGTCAACTGCGGAGACTGACTGCCAGATAGTATGAATGCGCCGGTTCTCGTTGACTTGGAAGGCGAGACGGATCCACTGCAAATTGCGATCAAGGAACTGAACCAGAAAAAGATTCCTCTCATTGTTCGCCGTTATTTGCCCGATGGATGGTGAGTTTGTCAGAACAGCACCGTCAGGAAATACGACTCTGACTCTTCGACAGGTATGAGGATTGGACGTGCGAAGAACTGTTGTGAAGTCTCAGTCTTTGCTTCTGTCGACTGGCCCCAACATCAATGAAGGAATGCCGCCATTATTCAGCCATTATCCATGGATGAACACATCATGCAACACGCAGATCTGACACGACAGGA